CCATGAATCTCATGTGTTGCTCACCTTTAAAATTCTAGTAATTGTGAGCTTCTGTTCATCCTCATCGTCATAATCACTTTCAGGCACCTCTGGCACACCGTTTGGATAGCAGATGAGTTGCAAAAGATGCTGTCGCTGAAGGAACAGGAAAGGACAGTAAAAATATTTTTCTTTAGAAATGTTATGAGTAAATAATATTCTAATTTCCAAATAATTTGAAAATACACAAAAACAATATTTGAGAAATCAGCTATGATTTCAGCCAGGCAGAGACTTTTCCAACTTGTTAAATTATTGTATTAACATTAAAAATGGAGAAAATAACAACATAGTATGATATATAGATATATAATATTTTTGTTGGAATAGTTTCATCTGGTTTGAATATAATAATTGTAAATTGAAATTCGTTTTTACTAAACCACAATAATATAAAAACTGAAAGGTCCACTGATTAATCTCAGGTAAGAAAGTATAATACATACTCCAAGTATTGAAATACATGCCACAGTGTTAGGATTTAATATTTCGACATTAATTATGTCATCATCAGGAATGAAAAAATTAATTATATTAGCAAGCTTATATGCACTAGTACCAAAAGTGTTTAATCAATCAAAACGTTACCTCTAATAGGTGACATAGCAGTGATTTAAACAAAAGATCAAAGCATTCTTACTCTATTGATCAAAGATACCTACAAAAACAGCTCTTTTGAAGCTCTGAGCCCATTGTTAAGCAAAGGGTGTAGTCTACGTATAGCGAACGCTTCTTTAAACAATAGGATAGACCAGTTTCAGGAGCTGTCAATAAGGTTAGTACTAGAAAATATTAAACCTAATTTATTACTTACATTACAGATAACATTATCATTTTCAAGTATACCCTGTAATCCTAAAACATATTGGAATGCCTCACAGTTTTTAACATGATCAAATATAACACTATCAGACCGTGAAGAATGTTAAGTCTAGTTATTCAGCACCTATCTGTCTTACCAATATAATCACTATTACAGCCTGGACATATAAAATGATAGACAACAGAACTTCTGTACTCCTTAGGGGTTTGATCTTTAGTAGATATAAAATGAGAAACATTTTTATACTGTCATAAAGTTATGAATTTTACCTCATTAAGTGTTTCTTTACCTTATATAAACATCTACGTAAAATGAATTCACCTGGTTTTCCTAGATAAGGAAATCTAACCCAAATCTTAATCAAGCTATCATCAGTAGGCCTATGTATACATTTAGGTTCATTTAATTTCACAATAATATATGCGCAATTGAAATGTTTTGTGTGCTTTCAGCAACATTTCATTAGGCAATAAACTTTTGATGGTTTCAGTTCTGATCACAAAAACAGGACACCCTAGTTAACAAACAGAAGTCTAGGGGTGTTATAAACATCCCATATGTCAAGACCCTTGCAAAGAAAATAAGGAATGCTAAAAAGTCACAACATAGGGACTTGTTTCAAACCCATAAACAATCTAAGTAGAGTCATACACCTAAGGACAAACTCTAGAAGAGGAGATATGCGATGCTATTTACCAGATCCAATGTGCGAATTGTGATTCCGTGTATGTAGGTGAGACAGGCAGACCAGACTGCAAGAATACCACCAAGATGTAGCCACTCACACGCAAGGGGTCAGCATGCGAGCATCCAGACCCTCTTCCCATCAATCTTACATAAATTTGTTATTACAGACCATTCTGTCTCTCATAATCATATTCCTAAATGGCCAGGTGCCAGTATCTTGGAAAAAATAATGCTTAGGAAGAAAGCAAATAAATGATACCAACTGAATAAGGAAAAGACAACAGAATATGAACAGAGATGAGGGAGGTTACCAACTCTCACATATGACAAGCTGCTCTAACCCAAAAACAACAACCAAGGAACAAGGCGTTGTGCACCGGTGGTAGAGGTCGCACTCCACTAGTGATCAAAACTGAAACCACCAACATTTCTTTGCCTGATGAAGTGTTGCTGAAAGCACACAAAACATTATTGTGGTTTAGTAAAAACAAATTTCAATTTACTATATAATGTTTATTTTAGTGCAATAAAATATATTTCAAAAAATTTGACATTCCAACATGTTTTGGCCATTATCTCCAAAACACAGTTTGCGAGGAATGACTGGTTTGGCTTGTGTTCGCCTCAATTGGTGTAAAACTCAATTCACCAGCAGAAGGACCTCACTGGCAGAGAGTCTTCAGACTTTTTTCCAGTGGTTTATCCTTGGTGTGATTCACACCATAAATACTCCTATAAGGTGTTTCTGAACTCTGGAGCAAGCTCATGATGATGATGCTGATGATGAAAGACAATAAAGAGCTACAAGATTCCCAGGACATAACACAAAAATGCAAAGTGTTAAGCCAAATCTGTTAATAATAATAATAATCTGTTAATAATTTTGTTAGAAGAGGAATTGTAGACTCTGCTGTTCCGTTTTGCATTACTGTATTTTCTTTTCTTTCTAAAGAATCTTGTTATCATATGATTCAAGGTAAAATAATAGAGAAAAATGTTGAAAGGATGAAATTGTATTGCACAACGATCCTGCAATGATGGAATGCAAAAAAAACTCAAGGTACAGTACTTTGGTAAACATACTAATCACCCATGATGATCCTTCCAATATATAAAGGACATAGGGTTTGAATTTCATTGAGGTAGGTGCTTATACTGTGGTAAAGGTGACTTTTGACTGAACTACCAACTAAATCACTAGAATTTGTGAGCACCCAGGTCCTAGGACTGAGTGAATTCAAGCTAATTCCCCTACAAATATGGAATCTCACCACTACCCATGGGAGGGGGGATTGATTAAAGAAAGACTCACATGGCCCCAGGGTAAGGTAACCAGCATAAAATTACCCACTAGCCTAGTGAACTACCAGCAATACCTCTCACCTGCTGATGATTTATCATGGGATCTAGCAAGACATCTTTACTCCACAGACCATCAGGGTTTTTTAGGAAGATTTCCTGAACCCAATCTTGGCTACATATTGCTTTCAGGGTGATTTTAGCAAAGTCGCTCAGCCCTGCTGTGTCCATCTTGCTTGCAGGTTTACGTGGGGCAAACTCTTTATGTATACTACCATATACAAGATCATCAGCAAACTCATCCGTTTGAGCATTGAATGTTGACGTACCAATTCCAGCATCGCCTGAAAAAACATCATCAAACTTTTCAAAATAGAATAGGCTGCTATAGAAACATTATAATTATCTTCACCAAGGGAATATATGTTTTGAGTGATGTAAGTTACTGTGTGTGTGTTCAAAATATTTTGAAAAATGGTTGTACAGATCCAAATTTACAGGGAGTGTTAGGTATGACCCAAGGACAAAATGATTCAATTTGGGTGTGGATTTGGGGACCACTGAAAGGCCAACCTATTTTCCTAGACCATAGGCAGATACAACAGCCCTACGATGAATATTCAAATTGGAGCAATTAGAGTGAACATAAGCGTTTAAATGTACTAACTTCATTTTTAGGAAACCTCAATATTTTTTATGCATCTTTATATTTAAACATGTGATGCTAAAAACCAAAACTTTTTTTGTTATTAATTTGACTAATTTTTCTATTTCGATACCAATACTTTGGCATATACGGCACTTTTTTCACAAGTATAAAAGTAAAATGTTCCAGAGTATTTAGTAAGTAGTAAGGAATTACAACCTAACATCTCATTATGATAGTTTACCATTACAATACAATAAAAGGCATTTCTATTTGGCTGAGTTAGTTTTTTTTTTCTCTTTCGTGGGAATCGCCCACTTTTATTTCTATCTTTTTTTCATTTAACACAATTACAAATAATATACAAATAACACTACGAGTTGTACAAGATAATGTCCTTTTCAAATAATTTATACAATTTTTACTTTTTTGTAATTTTGTTTTATGTACAATAGCATAAAAAACATATTATACTAGCAGATACAGAGATACAATTTTCTAATGAGCTTATAACTTCTCATATTTTTTTTTCATTACATGTTTTTAATCTTTTTGTTAACCTAAATGATAACATCATACATCAGTTAAGTATATCTGCAATTCATTTTTTTTTAGTTTAATATAACTAACAATAATTAAAACACAATATATGTCATAATCCTAATAATAAAATATTATACATAGCCTATCGCACGTCATAATGCTTATACTTATTTGACCTTGCAAATTTTAACTCACTTACCGAGCAATGCAAATTTTTTTGTTCAAAATATTTATTTATTTATTTTCTTTTTTTTTTTTTTTTTTATTCTGAAATTTTATTGTAAAAAGTTTAATTGATTGCCGTGGATAGATGTCCTCCAGAGTGATGATATCCAACATGCTGACTGGCTTTCCTCTAACCTTAAAAATAACTAGCTATCTTAATACTACTAGTCCCTAGGCTTAAGATATACATTTTTAAAGTTTACCTGCAGCTGTTGTTTCGGCTGAGATAGCTTATGTCTTTGTCTTTTGCAATGAACCATACTAAAACGTTCTAACTTCTTACATATTTTGCAAACTTTAGGTCGTGTGTGTACAGTAGTTCACATTGGGATACTCAATAGTGACCTCAATTTTGATTTCTTGGGCGAACATTTGAGAAGATCGTCATCATCTGTTTCTGATTATGCTAGTGCACGTTTTCTGTATTTTTTTGCTAGCAAATTTGATTCTTCTTTTATTAATAAATCGCCTGTAGCATGTAGGGTGTATCGGATTTATAAGCTATTACCTAGTCTATAGTATACCGTATACTAATTAAATTCGCACGTCTGACTCGGGCCTCGACTAGACCTAGTACGTTCATGGCCTTCCAAATCTTTTCATTGTTTTGCGCACATTATATATGCATTCCATCTTGTCTTTGTAAAAGATTGTACTCCGCTTGATGGAACATCATCATAAAACATTATGCAGCGAACATTCTTTGGATTTACACCTATTTTTCAGACTTTTTACCACCTCCAGGTAGTGGAACGTGCGACTGCCTGTGGGTCACCATCTTTGTTGTTGTCATAAGGCGCCCTCAATGGTAGCTTAATCTTTTTCCAAATTGGTCAAATCAAATCACATGATCAATCTTCTCAATGATATTTTTAAAAAATATTAATATATGTTTGGATTAGAAGCTGTTTTAGAAACTTTTGCTCATCCTTATTAAATATATACTATAATGATTTACGAAAAAATTAGCTGGTCCATCAACAGATTACAAGTCAAACTTACTCAGTATTAAAATGGCCTTCAGGACCGCAACAAGAGGTTCAACGCCGATCCTACTGTGAGCGGCAGCTAATAGGTGGCGATCACTTGATGATCTAATCACAAAACGGTTGCCAGATGATGTCTGACTCTCATGGTTAGGGTTCGGCAGGGTTGTGAAGAGTCTAAGCAGCAGATGGCACATAAGACGAGCACCAGCTTCTGCTTCTGCTTCTTGAACACCTCCACCTGCATACATATAAAATAATTATTATTATTAGTAAAGGTATGAGAAAACCCCATATCTGGCATTGTAATTGTGTTGAATTGAGTACAGACGTGGTCCATGACTACCTACAATAGCTGCCGTAAAGAGGCGCTTATAGTAGTTACATGCTCACATCATCTACAATGGACATGGTCCATTATAGATGGACCAAGTGCGAATTATCTTGTCCGCTTTTTGCATGAGTTGGTATATGTTCAAAGGGCGCCCCCACTTGTGCCGCTCGAGTGTACTACCGGCAAAATAACACAACAAACATACATACGTCATATGTACGTTATCGTCTAGGTGTATCTTCCCCAAACTACCAGCTGTCCAGTCTGTGGTTCTACAATGTAAAGAATGTTACCCTAACTTTGACTTGTATACTTGTCCCTGGCACCCTCAGCAACACCCTGTGGGTGAGTATACTTGTCGCTGGCAGCCAACGTGTTAAAGCAATTTTGGAAGCTTGTGATTTTCTAATCTTATATCTTCATTTTATTCACTCTCTACATTAATGTATTGTTTCTCGAAAGGGAGGTTAATAGCTGATTGATTAGTGAAACTTACCAGAGTGATTGGCAGCAAGCAGTGAGGTGAGTGCCAAGTGCATTATCACATCTTCCAGTTTAAAACAGTTTCTTGCTATCAAAATTGCCATGAAAACAGCAATAGAATCATGGATTGATGTATCATCCACCTCCATAAAAAATTTAGATAAATAATACATCAACGAATTACTTGAACAGAATACTACTGCCACCATCCTACTCATAATCAGTATGATTGATATTGTGATCATTATTGTCATTAGTATTTTCGTCATCGTCATCAACATTGGACCATCCTGTCATGGTCATTATTGTTATTGTTGTCATTGTCATTATTGTTATTGTTGTCATCATCAACATCATTCCCACAATCCTCACTTTCATTGTCATCAGTATTGTCACTATTACCACCATCCCAAACATCTTCTTGTCATCACCAACATCATTCCTATGATACTCACTTTCATTGTCATCAGTATTGTCATTATTACCACCATCCCAACCATCTTTACTATTATTGTCCTCTGTGTTGTCATCAACATCACCATTCCCACGATCCTCACTTTCATTGTCATCAGTATTGTCATTATTACCACCATCCCCACCATTATTGTCCTCTGTGTTGTCATCATCAACATCTTTCCTATGATACTTACTTTCATTGTCAGCAGTATTGTCATTATTACCACCATCCCATCCATCTTCACTATTATTGTATCAGTATTGTCATTATTACCACCATCCCAACTATCTTCACTATTATTGTCATCAGTATTGTCATTATTACCACCTTCCCATGTCATTATTACCACCTTCCCAACCATCTTCACTATTATTATATCAGTATTGTCATTATTACCACCATCCCAAACATCTTCACTTTTATTGTATCAGTATTGTCATTATTAGCACCTTCCCAACCATCTTCACTATTATTGTCATCAGTATTGTCATTATTACCACCTTCCCAACCATCTTCACTTTTACTGTCATCAGTATTGTCATTATTACCACCTTCCCAAAAATATTTCATGACTTAGCACCATCATATCTTAGGAACAGATTTACTTTAAGAAATCCACAATACAATACAAGAACAATGGATGTCTTATATACTGAAAAACCTAAAACAGAATATAAAAAAAAAGTTTAACTTACCATGGTGCTAATAATGGAATAATTTAAATGATGAGTATAGAAATTCAGTAAATATTAATAAATTTAAAGAAACCATTAATCTAATCTAACTTCTGATATTAAATTAATCAATTATGTATATTAAATTAATTAATGTATATGTTTTTTATTTATTTTAAACTAAAGATACTATTTAATTTCACATTTTAATCACATTTATTACTTAATCAAATTCTTTAATGTTTATACTTTTGTTATGTATTTTTATATTTTACCACTTATGGCCTTGCACGGCCTTGATGAAAACACCCTTGGGTGATCAAGTTTTTCTGTGTTTTTCCGCCATCTTTAATTGCTACATCATGACATAATGTCTACGGTCCCCAATGGGGGCAGTATACATAAAAACCAACCACACATTAAAAAAAACCCTAGTAAAAATTAAAATAAGTTACAATGCATTCATTCAGTGATTTTAACAATTGAATAAAATAATTACAGAGTTCCACAAATTTCCAAACATCAAAAAGGGTTGCTGAGATTAAAGGGAAAACCAACCATCCAAAATTGTCATCATTATCATCACCACCATCCCAACCATTCACATTGTATCATTGTCATGAGTAAGTAATGTTGTCATCATCATTATTCCAACCATCCACACTATCATTGTCATCAAAATTGTCATCATTATCATCACCATCATCCCAACTATCCACAATGTATCACTGTCATGAGTAAGTACTGTTGTCATCATCATTATTCCAACCATCCACACTATCATTGCCATCAAAATTGTCATCATTATCATCACCACCATCCCAACTATCCACATTGTATTATTGTCATGAGTAAGTAATGTTGTCATCATCATTATTCCAACCACCCACACTATCATTGTCATCATTATCATCACCACCATCCCAACTATCCACAATGCATCACTGTCATGAGTAAGTAATGTTGTCATCATCATTATTCCAACCATCCACACTATCATTGTCATCAAAATTGTCATCATTATCATCACCACCATCCCAAAGATCCACATTGTATCATTGTCATGAGTAAGTAATGTTGTCATCATCATTATTCCAACCATCCACACTATCATTGTCATCAAAATTGTCATTATCATCACCACCATCCCAACTATCCACATTGTATCATTGTCTTGAGTAAGTAATGTTGTCATCATCATTATTCCAACCATCCACACTATCATTGTCATCAAAATTGTCATCATTATCATCACCACCATCCCAACTATCCACATTGTATCATTGTCATGAGTAAGTAATGTTGTCATCATCATTATTCCAACCATCCACACTATCATTGTCATCAAAATTGTCATCATTATCATCACCACCATCCTAACTATCCACAATGTATCACTGTCATGAGTAAGTACTGTTGTCATCATCATTATTCCAACCATCCACACTATCATTGTCATCAAAATTGTCATCATTATCATCACCACCATCCAAACCATCCACATTGTATCATTGTCATGAGTAAGTACTGTTGTCATCATCAATATTCCAACTATCCACATTGTATCATTGTCGTAAGTACTGTTGTCATCATCAATATTCCAACCATCCACACTATCATTGTCATCAAAATTGTCATCATTATCATCACCACCATCC